CGACTATCTTCCGCAATCCATGTATGGGCCTTAAAGACTCGGGCTCAACCCGAACATCAAGCCCCAGGTCCAAAATCCCCTCAACCCAAACCCCCCAAACCCCTGGCCTGCACTGGCAGTGCTCGGCCAGGAGCCTGAAAGCCCACCTTTGCAAGGCAAGCATGCGTGGCATTGAAAAGCAGGGGCCACCCTGTCGTAAACCCTGAACCCTGAACCCGAAACCCTATAAACCCTGAAGCAACAGAGCGACCGACCGGATGATGCTCTGTGAGGCAAGCATGCATGCGGCTTTCCTTGTGCTCCGGATACGGAAATCCTAAGACCACCCAGGAAATCCTCAGAAAAGCAGAGGAAATCTCAGGAGATCCCTGCGGTTCCGGAGACACCCTCTCAAAATCCCAGAAAGTCTTGGGGAATCCTGAAGAAAACCCAAGGACATCTCTCCCTCTCTGTCTCTCTCTCTCTCTCTCTCTCTCTCTCGCTCTCTCTTTCTGTACTTCTTTCTTTTCATACGTTTTCCTTTATTCTGAACTTTCATAGGCTCGCTATGTCTGTATTTCTTTCTTTTTTTACTTATGTCAGTTCTTTCTGTCTTCCGCTATTTCTTTTTGGTTGTCATGCGTTCGCGCTGTCGCTCTGTCTGTGCGCGTTGCAGGGATCAAGCAAGTCCCCATGAGCTCCTCTCACAACAATAAATCGTGACATATGTGATAGATCAGGAACCAGGAGTGGGGGGACCACCGATATAAACCTAAACCCTAAACCCCGAAACCCCTAAACCCCTAAACCCCTAAACCCCTAAACCCCTAAACCCCTAAACCCCTAAACCCCTAAACCCCTAAACCCTAAACCCCTAAACCCCTAAACCCCTAAACCCTCAGCCACCACAAGTCCACGAAAGCCCCGTGGTAGCCCACGCTCGCGTGCCCAAGGCCGCGGCACGAGGAGCCGTGGGCATGACGTAATGCGGAACCTCAGCGAAGATGCAGGCTTTTATGGCTTAGGGTTGAGGGGTTCGGGTTTCCCCTCAACCCTAAATCCTGAACCCTAAACCCTCAAGGTTTTTCGGGTTGACCGATCTGGGCCGCGCACGTTGGTCTGCATCGCAGGGGGAGCTGCAAATCCGGGCCGCCTTCAAGCAGCTTGAAATGCGGATGAGGCTCACGTGCCAGTCTCGAGCCGAATGTCCATCAGTCGGGGCTCCACGTCGATTATGGTGAATTCACGAGCCCTGTTTGAGGGCACCATCGGTGGCCATGAGCACCGTGCACTGTGCCTGTAGTTGACCTCGCCATGGCTGATAACCCCCAGAATCACTTTACGCTGATTCAAAAGACACACTACAAAGACTCCAAGTCCGCCCTGTATCTGCCCAGTACATATAATCGCACTATTGGCGCCTTATAATCGCCCTATAAGAGTCCGATAATGCCCCTAGTAATAGGCCTACAATACCCCTACGCCTACAGCATAAAGCTTGTGGCCTACACGACTCAAGCTTACAGCAACTGAAGCCGTTTCGTTGTTGGGTGTGGCGAAGCGTGTCGCTGAGAACGCGATACACGGGCGGAGGAGGGTACTTTGGACCTCCCCCTTGCCGAGGCAACTTCAAAGAGCCCGTGTGGTCTGGACCGTGGGCTGAGTGAGTCACGGCCTCCCTAAACCCCCTAAACCCCTAAAAGGCCCCTCTAAACCCTGTCAACCACCAAGACCCTCAGCCCAAATTTCTACAGCACGTAGGGCGCCGCAAGTTGGCCCAGAATCTTTCACGTCAAGTACTTGAAGGTGTCATGGGTGCTTACAAGAAGGCTTCTAAGTACCCTTAAGAAGGCTATAGCCATAGTTGCCTTACTTATAAGTCTAGGCATACTGTATATCCCTACTTCTAAGTACCCATGAACCTTCAAGGATTCAAGTATGTCCTACGGAGAGGGGAGCTTTGCCCACGTTCGACGGCGCAATCTTTGGTAGCCTTGCCATATTTGTTACAAGGGCACCCTTCTCGGGGTTTCGTACATGAAAAAGGGACCCTGGAATCCAACACAAGGGCAACAGGGCACTGCTCGGCTACCAAGACGCATTGAAAGCAATGAAGTGAAGCGATTGAAAACCTTTGCAACAGCGACTTTTCTTCCCTTGGGCCTACCTCGGCAACTACAGCGCCTTCCTCCGCATGTGCAGCATGTAGCCTTTTCGCACCGGGTAAGTCGCTGGAGTCTGCAAAGGAAACTCACACGCAGGTCCAGACACCCGGAGACTGCCTGCCGGGCGTGTTTTTTTCACAAGAGCACTGCTACTTGGAGGTTCACGGGTGCTTCTAAGTAGGTGTGTAAGTAGGGTAACTAAGGTTTGCTACCTTATTTAGGGTACCTTTAACCCTAGTTCTTAGTGCCCATGAACCTGCAGGTAAGCTGACAAGCGTTCTGGATCCTAAGCCCATGCAGCATTCTCGTACTTTCCTAGCGGTCCTAGCGCTTCCGGGATGCAAAACCCTGCCATCCTGATCGTCAGCCCGCCTCCAGTGAAGATATGCCCCTGTGGCAGAGGTCCGAATGGGTCGGCGCCGCCTCCGGAACTCTCGTCCAAGCACAGTGGAAGAGTGGAAGAGCGGAAGAGTCTGATCCATTGATGTGTAGAACAGGCGTGTCCCTTGAAAGCGCGTCATCCGATCGAGGAGAAGACGGCAACCGAGACAGACATGTGACATGAGGACGGACATGTCTAGGCTCCTATGCAGGCCAGAGGGGATGTTCACCTAGTCTCACTCCGTCGCCGCCATCGTTTTTTGCATGACTGCGGCGGGGCTTCGAACGCACGAAACCCTAAACCCGAAACCCTCAACTCCTAAACCTCATCCCTCGGTGCCTCTCGAAGGCTTCATGCTCCAGCACCTCCCAAAAAAGCAGGAGTTGCATCTCTACCCTCCGAGGACCCCAAGAGGGCTTTGGGAGTGTTTGGGACCTTGGAACCGCAAGCCCCCCAGAGCCCCCGCGGCCATCGCCTGCCATGCGCCTGCCCACGGACAGGGCGTGCCGGTTGGCCGCGGCCTGGCGCCCAACATGACTCAGATTGACAGGCCGTTTGGGGTGTTGGGCTTGGGAGTCTGCAGATCAATGCTGGAACCTCGTGGCTCCTTCTCTTTGGACTTGACAACCCTAAACCCTCAAAACCCTGAAAGCTGAACCCTAAACCGACCCCAACACCCTAGACAGCTTTCGAGCTTTCGAGAAAGGCTAACAGGACAGCCGCAGGCGCTCACGGGCGTCAGAGTGTCGAGCCTGAATCTGAGACCCCGGATGCGATCGCACGACCTCCAGTCGCGCGGGTTTGGGGTTTAGGCTTTCGGTTTAGGGCTGAGGCTTTAGGGTTTAGGGTTCCATGACCCAATGGTGTAGGGTTTAGGGTTTAGGATTTAGGGCTCGAGAGACCCTACTGACCCTGGCCGGCGACCACTCGTTCTGAAGAGGCCATAGGGAGACGTGAGTCTAAATCGCCATCGAGTCTCTACCCTCAACTCCCCAAACCCAACACGCCCTAAGGTTTAGAGGGTTTTGGGTTTAGGGTTTTGGCGAACATCACGACCCGGGCGCCCCCACTGGCAGCTTCTTCTGCTGCCAGCCCCGGAAGCCACGGTCAAGCACTCCGACACGCCTTCCCAACGGCAATGACTTTGGCTTGAGGGGTTTATGGGTTTCTGAGCCCAAGAACGTTTTGACCGAAACATTTCGCAAGCCTCCGGGAGCCGTTTAAACCGGGCTGCAAGTTTAGGGTGGGTAGGCACCTGGTCCGGTATGCAGAATGCGTATATCAATCACGTAGCTAAAACGGTACATGGTACATGTATGTGGGGGAAGGGGGGTCGCTAAAATCTGGGTCCCCTCTTCCGGGTTCCTTCCCAGAATAATACTAAGGACTGCGTTGCAGAAAGCTTCCTTGCGCAGGTTGAGGGTTGTTGAGGAGAGTTGCGCTGACTTCCTTTTTGCTTGGGCCTTGGGCATGGTGATTTCAGCAACCCCTTCCGGCTTGCAGACGTGGCGATAAAGAGAGATGCTCCGGATGAAGCTGCCTTCAACATCTTAACTGTGAAGTCCGGCGCAAGCCGTCCTTGCTGCGGAAGTCCACTTACAGGCCCTAACCCTCAACCCCAAACCCTAAAACGTAACAAGACGTCGCAGTATGTCGCACCTAAGGCCCACGCTGCTTGGGGTCGGCCTGCTTTCGGTACCAGTTGGCACACCTCGAGGGGTTCCGGGTTTGAGGGTTGAGGAGGTGAGGAGTTGAGGTTTGAGGGGGGGTTGAGGGGGTTTAGGGGGTTCAATAGGTTGAGGTGGGTTGAGGTGGGTTGAGGGGGTTTACACCAGCCCCAAGGTAGAAGACAAGCCCTTCGGCTTGGCTCCCGGCTGAGGTCCGCGATGGAGGGAAAATTGGCAATGGAAGATCTCGGAACATGTCGTGTGTAAAGGTGCAAAAGGGTACTTAGAAGTGTTGGGTTACAAGTGCCCCAAACAAGGTTATAACCATAGTGACCCTGCGTTTTGCCCTACTTATGCGTATTCATGAACCTCCAAGTAGCAATCGGAGCACACGCTGCGACTTCGGTCACGTCAGTTGCTGCGGCACTCACTCCACGGCGTGTGCAATCAGACTCAGACTTCTTGAGGCACGCTTGCCGAGGTAAGGAGGCAAGGTACTGCTAATGCTGAGACCACCACAGGTGCTTTGGGCTCCGGGCCACAAGCCGCTCTCCGCGGTACTTCTGAACGAGCTCGGGCACCTGGAGGCAAAGAAGCCCACGCGCGCCGCCTCGACATCCCAAAAGATCTTCCAAAAACCCGAGGCTGCCCGGCCCGCTTGAAGAGGGGGTTCTGGAAGCTCGTCGGCTCGTGGAGCGCGCCCTGCATGGGGATTCTGCCACAGAAACTGGCAAAAAGCGTGCACCCAGTCGTCACCTCTAAGCAAGGCTCTCTAAGCCGCAGGTCTCTACACAAACACCCAAAAAGTCATCCGCCACTGGCCTCGATGAAGCCGCAGCTGCGGTCCGCATCACGGACATCCAGAAGAACGCACCTGAGTTCTCTTCAAATCACTCCCACCCCAAAGGGGCCATGGAAGGCCCAAAAAACAAGGTGCCTTCGAGACGTCAACTCAAGCAGCAAGCAGAGAGACTACAAGGGGAGCGAACCTCTGAACACTAAGGGAAATACAGCGCGCCCTGGCCGACTCCAGCTGGAGGCTGCGCTCACCCTGAGGGGCACACTTCTTCTGCTTCAGCAGCTGGAAGACCTGGCAGAAAAGGCCGCGCAGAATGAGGAAACAATCGGATTATCAGGGTGGACCAACCTGGTAGCCCGAACCAGGGGACTCTCCTTTGTCCCTACAGGGCAGATGTCATCACAAGGGGACCCCTCTGCTTTTACAGGTTCAAGCCCCAGTGATTGCGCAGACTCTGTGCTGCAATTCAGCTCTCATGGTCCAGCCAACTGCCCGCCGATGTTGCTACAGCAACACCTTGGCAGCTTCAAGTCAGGGGCAAAAACAAAAACATGCCCAAACCCTAATCCCTGAACCCTAAACCCTAAACCCGAAACCCTAAACTCCCTCAAACCCTGAACCCTATAGACCCTATAAAGCCCTAAACCCTAAACCCTAAACCCTAAACCCTGCGCCTCCTCCGGCTCCAGCCTCTCCACCCCCTGGCACTCTCCGTGGTGAACATCAACTTCCACTATGACATGACTCAGCGTTAAACATGCATTTAACACCTGGCCAACGCAGGCCGAATCATTCTTGACGAATTCTGGCGTATAGGAGGGTCACATTTTGGGAGATAGAGCAGCTGACATCGTCCGACCCCCAAGCCTCGGAGGAGCAAATCCACCCAAAAGTTGGGATCAGGAATACCCTAGACTTCTGCAATTCCTCAGAAGGCTAAGGTTTAAGGTTTAGGGTTGAGGGTTGAGGGTTTAGGGTTGAGGGTTTAGGGTTTAGGGTTTAGGGTGTAGGGTGTAGGGTGTGTCCTTGTCCAGGGGCACCGCAAAGTCCGGCCCCTGAAGTTCCAGAGTCGGCCCAACATGCCTGTGCGCACTCTTAGTCTAAACGGGTTTTAGGGTTTCGGGTTGAGGGTTTGCCCTAAACCCCAAACCCTAAACCCTGATCCCCAAACCCTAAACCCTAAACTCGGGCTTTTAGGATTTCAGGTCTAGGAGGGGGTTTAGGGTTTAGGGTTTAGGGCTTTTCTGGTTTGGGGTTTAGAGCTTGGGGCTGGGACATGTAGAACAACCTCACTGACGGAAACCTGCAACACATGAAGACAAGAGTCAAGACGTCCCCATCAGCAAAACAATTTTCTACTAAGCCAAGACACACCAATAAATAAACAAGGCTAAGCCTTCAGCCAAGACGCGACCGTTTACAGGAGGCCGATAAACGAAGCCTTTGAAGGGAGGTCCCTGAACTTAAAGAGTGATAAGAGAGGCCCTTTACAGAGGCCCTTCGCGGAGCCTCCTTAAGCCCTTGTAAACCCTAGTAGCCCCCACGTATCCCCAGTAAACCTAATGAACCTTCATAACCTTAGTAACCCTGACCAGTATCAGGCCAAGATGACATAGGGAGCAACCTGGCGTGAGCAGCTTGCAACAACCCTAAACCCCAAAACCGAAAACCTAAACCCTAAACCCTAAACCCACAACATACGAAGGGGGCCCTTGTGGGGGACTGCGCTTAACGGGGGGTGCCATGTTAAGGAAGGGTCTTGGGGAGCCTCGAAGGAGCTCTCGCTCTGGGTTTGGGCTTCAGGCCTTGGCGCGTGCACGACGGTTTTCGTCGCGCCCCGCACTTCGACCTGAGCACTGGCGCAGTCAAAGAGTGCGCCGGTCTGCGCTGAACTGCGGCAACAAGGACCACGTCTGTCCCCCAAGATGTCAGGGAGCGGTTCGGGCTACGAGCGGCTCACTGAGATGCTCGCTCTGGGCTTGGCATCGATCGTGTCCTGAAGGCTTGCGCCGCTGCGACACCCCAAAGCCCAAAAACACACAAAACCCACAAAACCCACAAAACCCACAAAACCCAAACACCGAAAACCCCAAAAAAACCAAAAAAAAAAACAAAACTCAAAAGCCCAAAAACTCAAAAACCCACAATACAGGCCACGGCCTCAGCTTCCCCAAAAAAACAGCAGGGCGGTCCCGCAGCTGTTGAGGCGCAAACGACCTGCAGCCGCGCTTCTTCGTTGAGCTAGTTAGCACGAACTCGCATTGCAGGGCAGGGGCTTAGTGAGAGGATGAGCAACTTGGCTTTGAGCGGAATGCGGCTGCAGCGAACCGGACGCCGCCCTGCACTCCTACCACCACACCCCGTCCGATGCCATCCCGCATGGGCCTGGCTGCCACGGTAGCTGGCTGCACAAAGGGCGCATTAGCCTCACACGTGCACTGGCAGAAGCTGCAGTCCGCATTCCGTACCGGTCGACACAACCCAACCTTCATCGTTCTGCTCTTGTCAACTTCACGCACTGGGATTACGAAGGATGTTCATGTGGTCTGGATATTCAGTCTCTACGTGTATTATAAGAGGGGACCATGCAGAGCACAAAGGACCGCTGGCGGAAGTCAAAGCAGACGCATGCCCCAGACTCATCCGGGGTCGTGGCCATCTTTGTGCACAGGGTCTCCTTGCAGAGTCTCACGCATGATCAGAGACATGACCATAGCCGCAACCATCTCACTTCGAACCAGATTACCAAGACCATACAGCAGCAGCAAGACTGTCCTGGGCAGCAGCCATGGGAGCCTTTTGCGGGATGTAGCTCCTGCACCCCGCTATCGATGTCACCGGCCGCGCACCAAACTCATGAACAGCAGTCAACAGTAGTCATGCAAAAAAAACAGAGGAAGTGCATGGACGGCCTGCCTGCAAGATGAGACAAAGGGCTTGTGCGCAATGGGCACACCCACCTGTCGTTGGGGAAGCTTGGCACTAAGTTGCAAGGGCCTGGTCCGCATCAACATCAGTTGTCGCATGGTGGGAGAGACACATGCACAAAATGACCGGCAAGTCCGCTTCGCATATCTAGGCTCCCCGGCAGGGATAGGCCCCCATTGCACGTTGGCCTGGCTCAAAGGCCCTACAAACCCTAGACCCTGAAGTCGCGACTGGCACCACAGAAACAGCCCGTGCCATGCGCCCCAACCCTGCTGCTGGCCTCTACATGAACAGCTTTGGGGGTTTTGGGTTGTATGGGGGGAGGAGGGGTCCGTTTCGAAGGATCAGAGTCTTCTGGGCACATTAGCAGCAGCACCGCTTTCAGTTGGCCTAAACTTGCAAGGCTGACAGCATGAGGGGCCATCGGAGGCAGCGGCGCAGGGTGGTACACGTAGATCCTCAGTGGGTTCAGGCTTCGGGTACTCAGCCCCTGGGCTTAGGCCTTGCACAATAGCGCTGTCAGAGTCCGGAAACCGTCTGCTTCCACCCAAACCTCAAGCACGCATCATCATCTTGGAATCCGTACACGGACCCGGGCACCTGGCACCCCACTACAACATGTTGTCCTTTTAGGAAAAAAGTAAAGGCTGTTAGTTAGGGAGATACCAGGTACTGAATTACATGATGGGGAATCTAAGGCGTCATCTGAGCCTGGCGCTGCATCGGCGGTGACGCCTGCATTGCTCGCACCTGCCCACTTCAAAGCCCCCTCGGTGTGATCACGAACGCCCCAGAACCAAGACGACCAAAGGCTTCCAGTCCCTGGGACCCAGAGACGGAATCTAGAGTACAAATAGCTTGCAAGGAAAACCTTTTCGAACACTGCACCAAAGACCAGATGGCCATGTGGCCGGTGCCAAGATGCCAGCCGTGTGACCGCGAATGCTCTCAACACTATCTGCCGGAATCCATGTACATCAGTCCAAAAACTCAGTCTCAGTCTGGAGGAAACTCAAACAGGAGCTGAACGCTAAGCCCTCTAAACTTGCAAAACCCCCCGCCCCCCACACCCAAACCCCCTCAACACCCTCCCAAACCCCCCAAACCCCCTGGCCTGCACTGGCAGTGCTCGGCCAGCAGCCTGAAAGCCCACCTTCGCAAGGCATGCATGCGTGGCATTGAGAAGCAGGGCAGGTTAGGTTACGTGCAACCCCCCCCCCACCTCGTAAACCCTAAACCCCAAACCCTAAACCCTAAACCCTAAACCCTAAACCGAGATCAACAGAGCGACCGACCGGATGATGATCTGTGAGGCAAGCATGCCGGCTTTCCTTGTGCTCCGGATACGGAAATCCTAAGACCACCCAGGAAATCCTCAGAAAAGCGGAGGAAATCTCAGGAGATCCCTGCGGTTCCGGAGACACCCTCTCAAAATCCTAGAAAGTCTTGGGGAATCCTGAAGAAAACCCAAGGACATCTCTCCCTCTCTGTCTCTCTCTCTCTCTCTCTCTCTCTCTCTCTCTTTCTGTACTTCTTTCTTTTCATACGTTTTCCTTTATTCTGAATTTTCATAGGTTCGTTACGTCTGTATTTCTTTCTGTTTTTACTCATGTCAGTTCTTTCTGTCTTCCGCTGTTTCTTCTGTTTTGTTGTCATGCGTTCTCGCTGTCGCTCTGTCTCCGCGCGTTGCAAGGATCGAGTAAGTTCCCATGAGCCCCTCTCAGAAAAGCAAATCGTATATGTGATATATCAGGAACCAGGAGTGGGGGGGACCACCGATCTAACCCTAAAACCTAAACCCTAAACCCAAAACCCTAAGCCACCACAAGTACACGCAAGCCCCGTGGTAGCCCACGCTCGCGTGCCCAAGGCCGTGGCACGAGGAGCCGTGGGCATGACGTAATGCGGAACCTCAGCCAATGCATATGCAAGATGCAGGCTTTTAGGGCTTAGGGTGGAGGGGTTCGGGTTTCCCTCAACCCTAAACCCTAACCCTAAACCCTGAAGGGTTTTGGGGTTGACCGATCTGGGCCGCGCACGTGGGTCTGCATCGCAGGGGGAGCTGCAAATCCGGGCCGCCTTCAAGCAGCTTGAAATGCGGATGAGGCTCACCTGCCAGTCTCGAGCCGAATGTCCATCAGTCGGGGCTCCACGTCGATTATGGTGAATTCACGAGCCCTGTTTGAGGGCACCATCGGTGGCCATGAGCACCGTGTACTGTGCCTGTAGTTGACCTCGCCATGGCTGATAACCCCCAGAATCACTTTACGCTGATTCAAAAGACACACTACAAAGACTCCACATCTAATAGCACTATCGGCGCCTTATAATCGCCCTATAAGAGTCCGATGATGCCCCTTGTAATAGCCCTGCAATACCCCTACGCCTACAGCATAAAGCTTGTGGCTTACACGACTCAAGTTCAGCAACTGAAGCCCTTTCTTTGTTGGGTGTGGCGAATCGTGTCGCTGAGAACGCGATACACGGGCGGAGGAGGGTACTTTGGACCTCCCCCTTGCCGAGGCAACTTCAAAGAGCCCGTGTGGTCTGGACCGTGGGCTGAGTGAGTCACGGCCTCCCTAAACCCCCCTAAACCCCTGAAAGGCCCCTCGAAACCCTGTCAACCACCAAGACCCTGAGCCCAAATTTCTACAGCACGTAGGGCGCCGCGAGTTGGCCCAGAATCTTTCACGTCAAGTACTTGAAGGTTCATGGGTGCTTACAAGGCTTCTAAGAAACCTAAAGAAGGCTATGGCCATAGTTGCCTTACTTATAAGTCTGGGCATACTGTATATCCCTACTTCTAAGTACCCATGAACCTTCAAGGATTCAAGTATGTCCTACGGAGAGGGGAGCTTTGCCCACGTTCGACGGCGCAATCTTTGGTAGCCTTGCCATATTTGTTACAAGGGCACCCTTTTGGGGTTTCGTACATGTAGGACCCTGGAATCCAACACAAGGGCAACAGGGCACTGCTCGGCTACCAAGACGCATTGAAAGCAATGAAGTGAAGCGATTGAAAACCTTTGCAACAGCGACTTTTCTTCCTTTGGGCCTACCTCGGCAACTACAGCGCCTTCCTCCGCATGTGCAGCATGTAGCCTTTTCGCACCGGGTAAGTCGCTGGAGTCTGCAAAGGAAGCTCACACGCAGGTCCAGACACCCGGAGACTGCCTGCCGGGCATGTTTTTTTCACAAGAGCACTGCTACTTGGAGGTTCACGGGTGCTTCTAAGTAGGTGTGTAAGTAGGGCAACTAAGGTTTGCTACCTTATTAAGGGTACCTTTAACCCTAGTTCTTAGTGCCCATGAACCTGCAGGTAAGCTGAGAAGCCTTCTGGATCTGGCGCTAAGCCCATGCAGCATTCTCGTACTTTCCTAGCGCTTCCGGGATGCAAAACCCTGCCATCCTGATCGTCAGCCCGCCTCCAGTGAAGATATGCCCCTGTGGCAGAGGTCCGAATGGGTCGGCGCCGCCTCCGGAACTCTCGTCCAAGCACAGTGGAAGAGTGGAAGAGCGGAAGAGTCTGATCCATTGATGTGTAGAACAGGCGTGTCCCTTGAAAGCGCGTCATCCGATCGAGGAGAAGACGGCAACCGAGACAGACATGTGACATGAGGACGGACATGTCTAGGCTCCTATGCAGGCCAGAGAGGATGTTAACCTAGTCTCACTGAATCGCCGCCATCGTTTTCGCATGACTGTTCGAACGCACGAAACCCTAAACCCGAAACCCTCAACTCCTAAACCTCATCTCTCGGTGCCTCTCGAGGGCTTCATGCTCCAGCACCTCCCAACAAAAAGCAGGAGTTGCATCTCTACCCTCCGAGGACTCCAAGAGGGCTTTGGGAGTGTTTGGGGCCTTGGAACCGCAAGCCCCCCCAGAGCCCCCGCGGCCATCGCCTGCCATGCGCCTGCCCACGGACAGGGCGTGCCGGTTGGCCGCGGCCTGGCGCCCAACATGACTCAGATTGACAGGCCGTTTTGGGGTGGCTTGGGAGTCTGCAGATCAATGCCGAAACCTCGTGGCTCCTTCTCTTTCCCTAAACCGACCCTAACACCCTAGACAGCTTTCGAGCTTTCGAGAAAGGCTAACAGGACAGCCGCAGGCGCTCACGGGCGTCAGAGTGTCGAGCCTGAATCTGAGACTCCGGATGTGATTGCACGACCTCCAGTCGCGCGGGTTTGGGGTTTAGGCTTTCGGTTTAGAGCTGAGGCTTTAGGGTTTAGGGTTCCATGACCCAATGGTGTAGGGTTTAGGGTTTAGGATTTAGGGCTCGAGAGACCCTACTGACCCTGGCCGGCGCTCGTTCTGAAGAGGCCATAGGGAGACGTGAGTCTAAATCACCATCGAGTCTCTACCCTCAACTCCCCGAACCCAACATGCCCTAAGGTTTAGAGGGTTTTGGGTTTAGGGTTAATCACGACCCGGGCGCCCCCACTGGCAGCTTCTTCTGCTGCCAGCCCCGGAAGCCACGGTCAAGCACTCCGACACGCCTTCCCAACGGCAATGACTTTGGCTTGAGGGGTTTATGGGTTTCTGAGCCCAAGAACGTTTTGACCGAAACGTTTCGCAAGCCTCCGGGAGCCGTTTAAACCGGGCTGCAAGTTTATTAGGGTGGGTAGGCACCTGGTCCGGCATGCAGAATGCGTATATCAATCACGTAGCCAAAACGGTACATGGTACATGTATGTGGGGGAAGGGGGGTCGCTAAAATCTGGGTCCCCTCTTCCGGGTTCCTTCCCAGAATAATGCTAAGGACTGCGTTGCAAAAAGCTTCTTGCGCAGGTTGAGGGTTGTTGAGGAGAGTTGCGCTGTCTTCCTTTTTGCTTGGGCCTTGTGCAGTCGGACCTACGCCGACAACAAGGGCATAGTGATTTCAGCAACCCCTTCCGGCTTGCAGACGTGGCGATAAAGAGAGATACTCCGGATGAAGCTGCCTTCAACATCTTAGCTGTGAAGTCCGGCGCAAGCCGTCCTTGCTGCGGAAGTCCACTTAAAGGCCCAACCCTCAACCCCAAACCCCAAACCCTAAAACGTAACAAGACGTCGCAGTATGTCGCACCTAAGGCCCACGCTGCTTGGGGTCGGCCTGCTTTCGGTACCAGTTGGCACACCTCGAGGGGTTCCGGGTTTTAGGGTTGAGGAGTTGAGGAGGTGAGGAGTTGAGGAGTTGAGGGGGGTTGAAGGGGGTTTAGGGGGTTCAATAGGTTGAGCTGGGTTGAGGTGGGTTGAGGGGCTTTACACCAGCCCCAAGGTAGAAGACAAGCCCTGCAGCTTGGCTCCCGGCTGAGGTCCGCGATGGAGGGAAAATTGGCAATGGAAGATCTCGGAACATGTCGTGTTTAAAGGTGCAAAAGGGTACTTAGAAGTGTTGGGCTACAAGTGCCCCAAATAAGGTTATAACCATAGTTTCCCTGCTTGTTTTGCCCTACTAATACGTACCCACGAACCTCCAAGTAGCAATCGGAGCACACGCTGCGACTTCGGTCACGTCAGTTCTTGTGGCCCTCACTCCACGGCGTGTGCAATCAGACTCAGACTTCTTGAGGCACGCTTGCCGAGGGCAAGGAGGCCAAGTTACTGCTGAGACCACCACAGGTGCTTGGGCTCCGGGCCACAAGCCGCTCTCCGCGGTACTTCTGAACGAGCTCGGGCACCTGGAGGCAAAGAAGCCCCCCCAGAAGATCCTCCTCCAAGCCGAAGCTGGGCTGCCCGGCCCGCTTGAAGAGGGGGTTCTGGAAGCTCGTCGGCTCGTGGAGCGCGCCCTACGGGGGGATTCTGCCACAGAAAAACTGGCAAAAAGCGTGCACCCAGTCGTCACCTCTAAGCAAGGCGATCAAAGCCGCAGGTCTCTACACAAACACCGAAAAAGTGATCCGCCACGGGCCTCGATGAAGCCGCAGCTGCGGTCGGCATCACGGACATCCAGAAGAACGCACCTGAGAGCTCTCTTCAAATCATTCCCACCCCAAAGGGGCCATGGAAGGGCCCCCGACAACCCGATGCCTTCTCAACTCAAGCAGCAAGGCAGAGAGACTGTTCACAAGGCGAGGGAACCCCTTGAACACTAATGATTACAGTGCGTCCTGGCCGACTCCAGCTGGAGGCTGAACCTGAGGAGCACACTTCTTCTGCTTCAGCAGCTGAAAGACCTGGCTCAAGCCACGTAAGCGGACCACCAGGGACATCGGGTTCCGGAATAACGAAACAGGCAACGTCGCCTCAGTGCTCGAACACAAGCCCATGTGGTTGCTCAGAATCCGTGCTGTAATGGGCTCCTATGATGCTAAACTGCCCACTGATGTTGCAACAGCACCACATTGGCAGCTTCATCTGTTCACGGCACTGTCTTCGGAACCTTAGACTTTATGGCAGCTCCACAACCCGGTGCGTGCATCAAGTCCTGCGCCTGAACCTTACAAACCTTAAACCCCAAGTCCTACACCCTAAATCCCAAAACCCTAAACCCTAAGCCCTGACCTTAAACCCTAAACCCTAAACCCTAAACCCTAAACCCTAAACCCTGGCTCGCGCCTCCTCGGGCTGCAGCCTCTCCACCCCCTCGCCGGGACGACATCAGCTTCCAGCACACAGCTGCGACCCACGCTTTTGCGAGCCCTACACCCTGACACGCTGACACCCACCCTAACACCATAATCCCTACTCTCCCTCAACCCCACACCCTAAACCCTAAACCCTAAACCCTAAACCCTAAACCCTTAACCCTAATCGGTGTTAAGTTATTCAGGCATATACAAAAGGGGTCACATGTTTTGGGGGATAGCCATGTGGAAACTGATATCGTCCGACCCGAAGCCTGGGAGGAGCAACTCAAACTTGCGGATCATGTCCCCTAGACTTCCGAAGTTCTTATGAAGGTAGGGACCGTATACGTAGACCCTGAACTAGGTTTAGGGTTTAGGGTTTAGGGTTCAGGGTTTAGGGTTTAGGGTTCAGGGTTCAGGGTTCAGGGTTTAGGGTTTAGGGTTTAGGGTTTAGGGTTTACGGCTTAGGGTTTAGGGTTTAGGGTTTAGGGTTTAGGGTTTA